ATAATTGGGCATAGGGGCTGTGTGCTACGTGCTATTTGGTAATTTTATGTATATAAATACTCGGCGTGAAGAAGCATTATTCTTCACGCAACGTCTTCTTCAATTACTTTAACCTTGCATTTGTTTACCCATCTCTTCTTCGGGAAGACCATTTATCTATTTCCAGCTCTTCATCAGCAAGACCCACGTGTAGCCTCTATCGCTACTATCTACCTATTTGTCTCTTCCTAGAGAAGACCAGTCATCCTTTCGACCCACTCATCACCTTTATCTACCACCTAGATCTTCGTTAGACCACATACGCACCCTGTGGAACACTGTCCTAACCTCGCCTTGAGAGAATCTCATTTAAAAGAAAAAATATATCTATCCCCACCTAAAGGTGTAACAGTTACGAAGGGTCATGCATTACAGGTATTGCGCAGCTTATATGGACTTAAACAGGCTGCAAGGGACTGGAACATGCTCTACAAAACCCATCTAGTACCATGGGGGTTTGTTTAAAGCCTTGCAGATCCATGCTTATTCATCCAAAAAGCGAGGCAGATTGAGTTACTTGTATACGTTGACGATATCTCTGCGGCTGCGAAGTCCGCTGATGAGCTGGACTGGTTCTTTAGTAAGTTCTCTTCTTGTTTCAATATCAAGAATCTGGGGGAGATTGAAAACATACTTGGAATAAGGGTAACGAGGAATTGTACAGAACGAACTATCTTGATTGATCAAGAGCAATATTTGAGGTCGGTGCTTGAAAATTTTGGAATGACAGCAGACAAATTTAAAGCGAAGAAAATTCCAGCATCCGACTATGAGTTAATTCGTCCCGCAAGTAAAGAGGACGAGAGAATTGTTGTGAATACCTCGGGTCAGCTCCGATCGAGCCTCATTGGGCTCCCACCATCCCGGCACTCGGACACTCGGCCGCAGTAAGCTAGATGAGATTAGGGCACTGGCAGCACAGCTAAGTACCTAATCACTCTGGCAACATCCCTACATCCGAGCGTTACCTGGTGGACCAATGCATTTAGACTGAGGCGCACATCACTCTGATGGCTATCGAGGGGCAACAGCATATAAAGTGACGACAGTGTATAGCTCTGCAATCCCGGGAGTTCCACACTAGCAACCAGTGTCAATAGTATGTTATGACAGGAGATATTGGCAGGGGCTATGGAAGTGGTTACTGTGACAGAAGTAGGAAGCACCTGTGGTGAGTGCGTGATCAGGACTGGGATACTAAATGTATATATAATGAAGCAACACTTCCGCAGCTAGATTGAAAATTAACCATCTCACTACTGTCCATTCCAATGCTTCTTTTCACTACAGCCATATCAATTATATCCGCGCATCCATAATCATTTGCATCCATTTCAGGTATTCCTCTGTCCCCTCACGAGCTCGTTATTATAACAAGAACCGATGTCACAAAATATCAACAAGGCATCAGAAGCTTAATGTTCGCTATAGTTTTATCGCGACCAGATGTTGCTTTCGTTCTTGGAAAGCTATCCTAATTTATAACTGATCCAGTAGAACATCGTAGTCATGTGCAAAAAGAATTGTTTCGTTGCCTGCAATCAACTATCACCCAGAAGCTGCGTTACAGACCTGAGGGAGTGCATAAACATTTCGTAGTTTACTCCGATGCCGACTGGGCAAGTGACAAATCTGACCGGAAAAGTTTATCTGGGAGTGTAGCAATGTTTTACGGTGGCCCTATCTCCTGGTCTAGTAAAAAACGACGATTAGTAGCCACATCCACTTGTGAATCTGAATACTTAGCACTCTCTGCTTGTGCATAACAAGGCCAGTGGATCGACCAAATATTCAGAGACTTGGGATGCCCTGACTATATTGGACTAAATCTTAAGAAAGTTCATATGTAAGGCAATAATTAAGGGGCGCTCGCCCTTGTCAAAACCCCCATCTTCACGAGCGATCGAAGCACATCGACATCTGTTATCATCATACCAGAGATCTAGTAGAGAGGGGAAAACTTGATGTTGCATATATCCCTACTACAGATATAGTTGCAGATAGTATGACGATGCCCCTGTTGAGGATTAATTTCGAAAATTTTAAGTCACAGCTGGGAGTTGTTATGTAGTAAAACTAGAGTCACCATGACTTGTTCTGTGGGGGAGTGTTGAAATCATGGAGTTCAGAGATAAGTCAGATGATGCTTAATGGACGGAATTGATGAATGGCTTTTTTTTTTTTTTAATTATATTAAAGTCCTAAGCTAAAGCTCTAGGTCCACTATCGGTACAAGACTGGTGGAGCCGGCGGGGATCACTGCTTACAGGCCCAACTCATTCCAACCGCGTGACCCGCTACAGAAAAAGTAGCAGGTAAATTATAACTCAGAAACTGTAATCAAAAACTAAAATCAAAACTAAAAGCCAAAGACTGAAATCAAATTTAGAAGATTTTTCATGTGGTCCGGATCCCGCGCTTCTCGCCCGTTCCCTTTCCTGCCACATCTTCCAAATGACAAATTTACTCAATCTCCGCTGAGAGCAAGAGATGAGATAGCAGGCACTTTTTATCCAGCCGGTATCCTGCTATTGGTTAGAATATGCCCCAAAAGGGACATTGTCGAGGTTGCTGTGTCCTCAAACTTCTTCTTCAAATTCCAGAACTCCGAAACCTGTAGCCTCGGCCATCGAGACGTCCTTTGCAGCGGCGGTGATTGCCTCTTCGGCCTTCTTTGCTGTTGCTCGTGCTCGTGCCACCTTCGCGAACTCCCCTTGTTCGATGTGGCTGATCCACGCGAGCTGCTCTTTGGTCACCGGTCCAGGCTTTCTGGGTCTGACTTTGCAGTCCCGAGAATCCGATCGGTGGGGTCCCCCACAGTTGCGACACTTTGTGAGGGCCTTGCACTCGGCTTCCGAGTGCATGTTTGATCCGCAGTTCCAGCACGCTGGGGTGCGGGAGCAACCACGGGTGGCGTGGAAGCCCAAACAGCGTTTGCACTGTTCAATTTGGCGACGAGGCTGGATCTTTGTAGCCGCTCCGGACTCGTCGAGAATTCGGAAGCCCGCACGAGGGGCGGAGTCCCGGTTGAAAAGGGCATACCAGTTTCTGTATGGCGCTCCAGGACGACATGTCCCGTGCGGTCGCACCTGGCATGGACGTCGTTGTGTTTTGCGGTAAATCTCCAGTGAGATCCTACCGGCATCGACCGTCTCAATACGGATGATTAATTTTATAGTCGCTGGAACATTCGCGATCCGAAAGGCGACAAGGTTGGAGGCTTCCTCGATTTTGGCATTGAAGTCCGACAACTTCGGTGAGGCATCTAAGAGCTCTTCCCTTTCATTTTCATCCGCTGTCAGAATCGCAAATCCGGTTCTGACACGGTGTATAGAGCTTTTTTCACTCAAGGTGTACAGTAGCCTACTACATAATTGATGCCTTATGCCGTCAGGCGAAAGCTGGCGCCATGGGTGATCGCTCTCTAAGCGAAGGAACAGTCGTTTGTCGACTTGAGCCTTCGGAGCTTCTTTATTTTGGGCTTTTGCCGCCGGTCGCGGAACAGCCTTAACAGTAGGGACTGCTTTTTTTGACAGTCCGTTTCTGACCACCGTGGCCCAGGTGCTTTTTATAGGCAGCGCTGGGACGGCGGAAATCGTTGTGCTCCTGACGTCGGGAGCCCTTGGGATCGGGTTCGCCGGGCGAGGAGGGAGGACGGGTGGCGTGGAGGCCGGGCCCGTGGCCATGTATTGCGCGATGGCTGCGCGTAGGTAGACTCTCATCGAGTCTACAAATTGTCTGTTTGACCCGTTGGTCAAAGGAAGAAGGGTGACTTCGACGCCAGAGATGGCGGCGGAGCAAAGGGCCAGATTTGCCGCTGTTTCGGCGGCACGTCGTTGCTCGGCTTCGATAATGGGTCGAAGTTCCGGAGGGCAGTCTGCTTTCGTGGCAGCTTTGGGCTGCGACGTTGATTTTGACGCTGCTTTGGGTGCAGCGTTCTCCGACAGTTTTGGCGCGGTCGGGGGAAATTTTGATGATTCTCCAACCCCGTGGGGGACGGAGGATTGTTGAGGAATTTCCTCGATAATTTCGACTGACCCGATCATGTCAGTATCGGGCTCAGTGACGGTGGGGAGGGCTTTTTCCTTCCCTTTGGTAGAGACGTTGCTCATCTCCGCGCATTTCGGAGACTGGGCAAGGCCAGGTAATTGTTGGAGAGCCCTCGGGTGGACTCTCGTGTTGTCCAACTTGACGTTGGGGCGCTTTTTGCGAACTGGAGGCATGGTGAAAATGCCTGAGCTCGATCACAATTCAGAGATAGATGCGACGAGGTCGAGAAGGGAGGAAAATGGGAAGAAGGGAATTTTCAAATTTCTCGAATTGATGAAGGGTTTGGTAGTTGAGTTTTCTATTATTTTTGTGTTGGGATACACTTTGTTGATCCTACTAGGCTCGAAAATTACTAGTCCCGACCGATTGGTGTTTGGCAAACGGAGATTGCGTATACCCCGTGTTAGCGTTGTTTACTGCTGTTAAGAGGAGATCCCGCACGGGCTATCTATTGGGGTTAAAAGGAGTCTGGTACCTGTGTTTAATAGAGTAGTCGAATTGACATCCTTTTATCCTTCATTGTTGCATAAGCTTCCCTCTACCAATAAGTCCACGAACTAAGTAGTGGGTTATACATTACAATAAGTATTTATGTAATTTGTATACAGAGCTTTGCTCTTTAGCTTAAATACCTTTTGAACCATGAGTCCTTGCTTGCCTTAATTAGCATGTTACAACACCTTGATTACTGTTCAGATGCTAGTATTAAATCTACACTAATTTTTGATTCTTCAGCAAGACTAGTTTCTCTTTCATCCTCGACTAGATTTCCAACATTACTTTTACCTAGATTAAAAAGCTATCTATCCATATCACCTTACAATTAATAACAATACTATCTTGCACAATCCTGTTCCAGTGATTCATTGCGGAGTCTCTGGAAGAAGAGCTGGGGAAAGCTAAGCCCACAGCTATTCTAGCTGTGTAGCATTGCCAGTATTCATTGCGGCTACTGCCGCGAACTGTCGCTGTGATACTCCCTTTTGTAAGGCCAGAATGTGGCCGTAGTCATAGGAATCTCCACCGAGACTCCACGCCATAACGCCGCCCAAGTTTCGCGCATCTACAATCTCTTTGAACTTGCGAGCAATCAATGCCGGAGTGTCCCAGGTCCAAAAATAGTGATGAGTCCGGTCGTAGTAGTACTCGCCGCCAGCTATCTCATCAGTCTTGCCGTTACTCATGGCCTCCTGGAAGCGTTCGGAAATGGAGGTTTCATTGCAGCCGCTTCCGTATGATGAGCCTAGGCAGGCATTACAATAGTCAGACGAATCACCACTGTAGTGAGGTTAGATAGATCAAAGCTTGCGCAAGCGCTTGATCGGGTGCGCGAATATCACGGGAGAAAGACGTACCAATAGCCATATTGAGAGCAGCATAGACCTGCAGCGCAATACTTTGACACTGTCGGGCCACAGCTACCGTCGTTAGACTCGGTCAAGTTGGAGGTAGGTTTCAGGTAGTTATATGCCTCGGATGAGACAGCTCCACTCATTTCCGCATCTGATCCATCCGCATTTTCCAAGAGGACCGTCGCACAGCCTAGACCATCTTCACACGGTTGACTGGGATCTAGCTTGAACCATTTTGCGTAAGTGGCAAATCCTAGGTTTATTTTGGCCGGGTCGAGAGATAGAGTATTAATGTAGTAATCAATTGTTTGTAAGGATGACTTGATGTCGGTGTGATGTTTGCTGATACTATCGCGGCGGTTCATAAGATCATAGGTCATAACATTTACCCAGTCAACTGATTCCCAAATGGAGGCTGACTTTTCTGGAGTATAGGCAAGAAAGTCTCGAAGTAATCCCGGAGTTGCAATTGTTAGTAGCTTATGCGGCCCGATAGCAGCCCGGATTTCAGCTAGTAATAAGGGATAAGTCTCTATTTCTGAAGTTTTTTCTGAGTTGGGATTCACTCGGTAGTCGGCGCCATTGCCACCTGGGAACTCCCAGTCTATATCGACACCATCAAAGTCAAACTGATCGAGCAGTGAAGCGATGTTGGCGGCAAATAGCTTTCGAGAAGCTTCCGTTGCGGATCCAATACTGAAGCCGGCTGTATCACTCCAGCCACCGATGGCTATGAGCACCTTGGTGCCATTATCAAACTTAGAGCGTACAGTGGGTATATCTAGAAACGGAACATACTCTCCGGCAGGAGAGGTGGTAAAGAGGGAAGAATTGGCAAATGCAGTAATGACATGGTCTATTCCAGCGTTGACGGTATTATTTGGTACTTCAATGTGGTATCTGAGAAGATAGCTGTAAGCAAGAGCTAGACAATCTAGCACTAAACCTTACTGATCATAGTAAAAAACATATCGCGCTTGAATGGAAACTACACAGAGAGCACTGGTTAGTATTTTTGGTAGAAAAGCCACCATAACTGTGAGATAACGACAGAAAGAATCTGATATGTAAGGAATGTAGAATGAATGATTTAAAGTGGAAACGCTGGTGTAGAATGATTTATTCTTCATTTATGTATGGCAATGGAATGAGCCATTGTGAAATGGGTCAGAGTTGTGGATCAAATTTTTAAATGACGAGACCTGGATTAGAATATTTTTAGGCAGGCGGAAATTTGACTCCATAGATATCTCTATGTGTGTGGATCCGACTTGAAGTGGATTCTTCTTTTGGGATGAAAGTGATGCATGTAGATGGGAGCGGCCACTTTTTCTATCACTAGTATTCATTCTATGGGACTCGATTCCATATTCTGAGTCGCCTTGATAGCGCATCGTGTATAATGATAAGTTGCTGAACACTTTCCGCCTCTCAACATCATGATGTAAGCTTCGAACGAAGACGTAAGAGTCGTACCTTCATTACTATCCGATGATGGATAGGGAGAAAACTAACATGCAGCTGGCCCGTTCTGATCTTAGCCATGCTTGATATCTCTTTATCAGGGTCTTGTTATAAAAGTGCACCTATATCGCCTTGGCTTTCTTCCTTTGGAGCCCCGCCCCTATTTCACAGCTGTATTCGTGTGGCAGCTTCGGGATTCGGCATTGGTTATAATGCCAAGGTATCTTGTCTCCATGATAACAGAGGTCAGTAATCAGAGCGGTCTATGATGGCTGGATGATGATATCAGGAGTAAATGATAAAAACTGGTCAGCGCGGTCGTCGATACTTTGTCTCTTCACATCAGCAGCTTCAGGTATAAAATTTGGAGCTCAATGACGTAGCCAAGTCACTTCCGAGAATGCATTAAACTTAATTTCATTTGTATTCAATGCCCAATTTAATACCCTAGATGAGGATGAAGCTCTCAGTAGAGCCAAAGTAAGCGATGGCACTCTATTCTACCCAAAAATGAAGTTATCCTAGACATTTAGGCCATTTTATTAGATAGGGACGTTTCATAGCTTCTCAAGTGATGCTGGAAGTTGGCATCTTCTACAGGCCCGGCTTGGGCGGGATGATTTGTCGCAGGTGGTGGATCTGGCCGTGATCGCATTATCACAGTCCGCGTACCGGCTTTGTTTACACTTGCCACTGCGGGTTCCAAGATCCTCTTCAACGACGTGTCGACCTAATAATGCTTCCATGACGGGGGATTCGAGTAGAGAGATTACCGACTCGATAGGCTTCGACGGGAGAAGCATAATTCATCGTCTATTTGCTGGCTGCCCGCTGGCTGCATTACTGAGACGAGTCATTTGGCATTTTAATCGAGTTTCTTTCGCAATTCATTTGCCTAGTCACCCTACAAAAATTTATTGGGTAACCTATCGCTGTTCAGTTGTTGATGAATTTTCTAAAAACATTTTTTCTACAACGCCCAGCCGACCGGCCCTTTCAAAGCTTAAGAAGTTCAACTATGTCATCGTATCTAGTCCTGATATCGGCATAAAGAGAATTCGGCACCCGGTGGATTTTGCAGTTTTCCCAAGCTACAATACACCTGCGAATAACCGTCGCTCCGTTTGCTAAAGGGAGGACCTAATGAATGGCAAAGAGTTTCTCGCCATGTAAGATAAAGTGGAGACTTTTAAGGAGAGCTACATAGGAGGCATATATATCTTTGGTCTTCAGGCAGAGCAGAGTATTATGTCCCATATCATCTTAGACTAAGAACTGATGGTAGTACTAATAACAATAATTGGTTTGGACGGTGAAGTGATACACCATTCGGGCCGCTCTTCTCAGTAGACACTAGGTATCTTGAACACCTACCCCATTTGAGACAGGAGAAAGCTGGTTCGAATCTAGTAAAAACCCACACACCACTCTCTCTCGCGGTGACATTGTATTTATGGGATGTTGAAAACACAGTCAGATAACCATAGGTTCTCCACGCTTTTTCCTGTGATGGGTATGCACGGAAGAGGTTTTACGCTGTAAGGGCTAACCTCGAGTGGGTTCTGCAAATGAAATGTGAGTGTGGTTGTTCTAAACGTCAAATTGAGTCATCCCACACAAACTATATATCTTCCCATTAAACCTGCATGGGCCTCAAGGCGCCAAATCAAATTATTTATTTAATAACAATAATCATTACCGTCCTGGATACGCTCGGTAACTAGCTTGAGACTTGGAATCTAGCGAGGAAGCTATTACGCTCTGCCTTCGTATGGCATGAAGTCGGACGGTAAGGTCCATGATAAAATCTTCATAGCAAGGATAAGGTTATATCATATATGAATTAGAGGACTAATGCACACTTAAGCCAGTGATTCGGCGAGCCTTATGTTTAATCTAGCGGATGAAGGAGAAGGAGCATTTCGGTGAGTTAAGTCACTGAGGGAGGCTGACTCAAGTATCCACGATTCTAATGTAACGTCTACGTGATCTTTATATTCTCGGGAGTTTTTAATCAGACACAAGCCGGCTGAGACGAATTCTTTACCTTCCAGTGACGTCGGTGTAATCACTTAGTATACTTTGCATATCTGGGATAGCTAAGAATCTCATCCGTATCGAAGTCAAATGCAATCTCAAGCAAACCCAAAATCGACGACTTCTCATCAATGTCGGACCTATAATTCTCACGCGAGTCTTCTACCTTAATCTTACTATACCACCTCGCTTTAACTACCGATAAGGGCATTACTCCAATTACAATGGAGAATTTGCCTACACTAAAATTGGCCATCTCCCACAATAAAGTTACGATGCTGTGTTTACCTGCGAAGAGGTTATTGAGTCATAATATAAGGGGTGTCTGTTATGGAGACAAATGGCGTTATGGTCTTGCGGGCCCTCCACCTCATCTTGACTCCCGACTCGATCTTTTGCGTATTTATGAGGTCGGAATGATTAATATAGTAGCACATCAGGCTAACTAATGGATTAATTTTGTGTGCAGCTATCTAGCTATGACACGATACCAGAGAAAAGGGACAGAGCGTATGACTCGGTTTAAAAGAAAAGCACTCGTGCCTCGGGTTTCTTTTGCAAGTACCACTACGAAGTTATAGTAGCTTTTTCTTCACCCCAAGTCAACCCTCATCCGTGAATACCCACTCAGGGGTGTTGTAATTAAGGCAGCAACATGACTGCAGTAGGCAAATAGTACATATTAGAATCATATGCACTGGCGCCATGAGATATGACTAACCCATATCATCACTCACTGGCATGAATAGTAATTAGCCAATAGATGCCTGACAGCATACATTGGCTTCAGGATCTCCAACAACCTTCCCCTTTAGGTTAGATTAGGAAGTATGTTGGAGTTCACACTAGTGTGCGGAAAACTACGCTTTCATGTAGATAGAGGGACTTCTCGCCACACATGTAGAATCATAGCAATTTAATCACAATTAACTATCCATTAAACATCAGTAAACTTCTTCGTATGGTAAACACATTTATCGTATCTCTTAATCAAACTCGAGGCTAGTGTGTAATTCTTCCAATCTCCGGAACTAATTTCAATTAGGGGAACGTCTCAAAAACCCTGAGTTATCCAGACATGCCTCCATCATCTTTCAACTTTCCTCCGCACGAAATTTGCTCTGAGATGTCTCCTTCCCAAGTGAAGTAGGTGCCCGGGATACTCAGACTACACCGGAGAACACCATCAGGAGGCGGACCACTACACCTTCCATTGTTTGCTTTTTTTTTTTTTTGCATCAGATTTTAATTGCGTATGCAGCTATCTAGCTATGACACAATATCAAAGAAAAGTACAGAAAAGATGACTCAATTTACAAGAGGAGCACTCATGCCTCGGATTTCATTTGCAAGTACCACTGCGAAGTTATGGTGGCTTTTTCTTCACCCCAAGTCAACCCTCATCCGTGAATACCCACCCAGGGGAACGTCTCAAAAACCCTGAGTTATCCAGACATGCCTCTGTCATCCATCAACTTTTCTCCGCGCGAAATGTAATCTGAGATGTCTCCTTCCCAAGTGGAGTAGGTGCCCATGCTACTCAAACCATACCAGAGAACACCACCAGGAGGCGGACCACAACACCTTCCATCGTTGGCTTGTGTTTATAGTGTCAGCTGCACTCTTATGGCGAAGGCATGGCGCGCACAAAGCTCAATTCGTAAAACTCTTGCCAAAATTCGAAATTTCACGACCGTCAAAAAGGTATCCCTCTTCTGCATCATCTTGTGAACTTGTCCTGATCCCTCTCACGTCCATCCCAAAGAGCTATCTCCCAGATTTGTGCTCCACGCTTTGCTTCCTCCGTCGAGTATAAATATCGGCGTGGGCGTGTATTTGGTGACCAGCTGAGGCCAGAGAAAGCCGACGAGAGGTGTGATCATTGAAACGAGGATGTACTAGGTCGTACTTGTAGACTTGATGAAGTTTAGTTGAGAATCGGACTCTTTGGGAGTAAAATATTGACATGGTGGAGTAATTTGAATTTTTGCCTCGTGAGCCAACTTATTTGATATTGCGAAATTTGACTGAACTCGGCTCTGGGAGAATATTTCATTCCCAGGTTCTTTTTTTTTTTTTTTTGCATCAGATTTTAATTGCGTATGCAGCTCTCTAGCTATGACACAATATCAAAGAAAAGTACAGAAAAGATGACTCAGTTTACAATAGGAGCACTCATGCCTCAGATTTCATTTGCAAATACCACTGCGAAGTTATGGTGGCTTTTTCTTCACCCCAAGTCAACCCTCATCCGTGAATACCCACCCAGGGGAACGTCTCAAAAACCCTGAGTTATCCAGACATGCCTCTGTCATCCATCAACTTTTCTCCGCGCGAAATGTAATCTGAGATGTCTCCTTCCCAAGTGGAGTAGGTGCCCATGCTACTCAAACCATACCAGAGAACACCACCAGGAGGCGGACCACAACACCTTCCATCGTTGGCTTGTGTTTATAGTGTCAGCTGCACTCTCGCAAGCGAAGTCTTGGCGCGCACAAAGCTCAATTCGTAAAACTCTTTCCAAAATTCGAAATTTCACGCCCGTCGAGAATGTATCCCTCTTCTGCATCATCTTGTAAACTTGTCCTGATCCCTCTCACGTCCGTCCCAAAGAGCTATCTCCCAAAATTGTGCTCCACGCTTTGCTTCCTCCGTCGGGTATAAATATCGGCGTGGGCGTGTATTTGGTGACCGGCTGAGGCCAGAGAAAGTCGACGAGAGGTGTGGTCATTGAAACGAGGATGTACTAGGTCGTACTTGTAGACTTGATGAAGCTTAGTTGAGAATCGGACTCTTTGGGAGTGAAAGATTGACATGGTGTAGTAATTTGAATTTTTGCCTCGTGGGCCAACTTCTTTGATATTGCGAAATTTGACTGAACTTGGCTCTGGGAGAATATTTCACTCCCAGGTTCGTAGAGGACACCGCGTACAGATTTTCAGTCTTTCCCTCCCATTTTGTTTTGTTTTTATTTATTTTGTCCTAAGCTAAAGCTATGATTTCCACATTGGGTCAAGGACAGGCGGAGCCGGCAGGGTTCCCTGTAATCTTTCCTACAGCCTAACTCGTTCCAACCTCGTGAATCGCTACCAAAAGTGCAGCTGATTAAACAGAAACGAAAAATCAAGAAAATCAAAACAACTCCGAAAAAAAAAACCCCCCCCCAGAAGATTCCTCCATAATGGACCCATTCAATGTGCTCCTCACACATTCCCTCGTCCGTTACACCTTCCAAATGACAAATTTACTTAATCTCCGCTGAGAGCAGTAGATGAGTTAGCAGGCACCTTTCCCTCCCCTTTGTTTGCTTGTGTTTGTAGTGTAAGCCGCACTCTCGCAAGCGAAGTCTTGGTGCGCACAAAGCCCAATTCGTAAAACTCTTGCCAAAATTCGGAATTTCACGCCCTTCGACGCTATATCCTTCCTTCGCATCGTCTAGTCAGCTTGTCCTGAATCCACTCATGTCCATCCCAAAGAACTTTCTCCCAGATCTACATGGGCCCATAGGGCACCAAATCAGGATAATGAAATCAAATAAACTAATAATCTGCTGTGGGGGAAACCTCTGGCGCAGGTCAGCAGACACCGCAGACCGCAGCTTAGTCATCATCCCGCATCTCTGGTCTCGTGTGGTGCGGTACACAAAAATTGATGATCGCGCAGCCCCTAGGATTTCTTTACAACGTTTAATGTGGTGCCCACGCACAGGAGCCTCTGTACCATGTGCATTGATACTACAAAGTATCACCTGCCTGGACTGTCGTGGCACTCAGGCCGTTGCGCAGTGTGGGGTGGCTATGAGGTTATCTGAAATAGCCTCATACACCCCGGGTCTCGAGGGGTGCTTGAATCGCTGAAACTGGAAATATTCAATATGTAAATAACCAATCTCGCGACACTACGAGTTGCGGCAATGATACAACGCCCTCTTGTTAGCGCTGATACCTTTATATTCGAATTTTTCAGTTTTGAACTTCTGGGCAGTTGAGATATCGGATGTTACTATTATCGTCATTTAATAAAGCTTGGACGTTTCAACGTGGCGAATTTTTGGGCATTGCTACGTGTAAGCTTTTTATCATTTTACAACAGCCGCTCGTCCTCGTGAGCCAGTACTAAGAAACAGCATTAGATGGTGATCAACGACAAAATTATGGTACTTTCCTAGCCTGTGATTATGTAGGGCGCCTTGGTTCTCTCTACCTGCAGAATGTGGATTCTATGCCTGCTGTGAAACTGTTCACTAATGATACCACTCCCCAAGATTCTCACCCGATATTACAGTAAGAGATGTGTGGCTTCTACAGGGTTATGGTGCAGTGGTACATCGCTCGGATCATTGGACCAACTAGAGCCTAGGTAGCTTGAACACCTATCCCATTTGAGATGGGAGAAAGTTGGTTCAATTCCAGTAAGATTTTTACTGCTGAGCATTCCAGATTGACAGACCTCTAGATCAGTACGAGGCTCCGATAAATCGGAATGCTTATGTAATATAGCTCACGTTGGAGTCCCGGCGTAAGAAAAGGAATACTGTAGTTAGAAAGACGACGCCCTGTATGAATAGAGAATCAATTACATCTAGTCCCAAACTCTACTACACATATTGGTAGTTTGGAGCCACGAGACACCCGCAACCCACACTGTCGGTAAAAGGATCAGATTTCGGCAGTATGAATTGTTCTATCTAATTGCGGTACTCAGGTTGTCGTTGAGACACTGACAGGGATCTGACTCAGCTCATTAGCGAGGCGCGTGGAGTAGAGGAAGAAAGAGGAGACGGAAAGGAGAAGGGAGAGACAACGTTTTATGTATTTCGAGATACCAGTTAATTGACTTCTATTCACCGACTTCGTGACGGCAACCAACTTGTATTACTTTTTTTTTTTACCAACACCCACCATCATAATGCTAAGCTTATCTCACTTTTCACACATACTAATCCATCAGGAACCTCACAGTTATGGCCTGATTACGCTGGCCCGAGGCCGGATTACCAAACGGCATATCTGGCCAACCAATATTAATTAAACAGATAAATTACATGGGCATCTCCAAGATCGGCTTTCGGAAATAGCAACCCTGTGCTCCATGAAAGTATCTTTGCATAAATCAGTAATACAGGCTTTCGAGGATGATTAGAGCTTAGGATACAGGCAAAATGCACATATGACTACCAAATTAAAAATTCGAGGAGATTGAAAATTCAACTCAGGTACCCTGATGCAACGTATAGTTCAAGGACGAGCCGGAGATTGTATTAATGAATTGTTCTGATTATAAGAAGCGGAAGAAATGGCTTACCCAGATCTTCAGTTTCGCAATATGTATTTTTATCCTCTTTTGATCATAATCATCTTTAGAATCTTGCTACCACAATTATCTCTTCTTAATCTTTGAATTCTTAATTCAAAACATCCATTGTGAACCTCGATAATCACCTTATACACTTTGAAGACGGCAGATCCTATTCCCTTTAGATCGTGCCGTAACACATACTCCACATTCTCTGGCGGAGTTATGGTATTTGCAGGGTGACGAAAGCACACACTGATATCCATGGGTTTCCACTGCTCTCCCTTATGGTGAGTACGGACGGAATAGCTTGCATACCCTAAAGGTCAACGTCGACTGGTATCTGCGAATGAAGTCTGAGGGTGAATGTTCCAAACGTAAAAATGAGTCATTCTACACAAAATACACATCTTCCAAAAGTACCTATATGAGCCTCAAGGCGCCAATCCAGGATAATAATTTATTCGTTTATTTACATGCCTTCCGCTGTCTCTCCTCTCTCACGAAATAGTGTAGTCTAGTAAATATTCGTGGTCGTTGGTATCAGTAAGTCGAGAACGAGTCAGCCATGGCTGTATGTGGTTGGACGCGTCTGACGAACCATTCTTAGGGCCTGATAGTGCAGTGGTATACCATGTCGAGCAGAGTCTTGACAGTTCGGGCACTACTCTCACTGGAGACATGAAATTGCTTTTTCGGCTTCACAGGCACTCGATCACTCTTCTCGCCGAGCTCGTCTACGGGACGACCATGGCTTGCCTAGACAAGTGAAGATTTCCGAATCACTCCTTAGGGAATACTTGTGGACGAGAGTTGAATACGTCGAATAAATAAAATTTATTCACAGTGATGTTGGTGAGAGGTTAGAAAGCCATCAAGCATAATTGTAAAAAAACTGGGCTTGTGTTATGGAAAGTCACGAGTGAACGGATGAAAACATGGGCACTTGGCTTTGATTTTCCTTTCGGGTACGGGATCAAGCGGGAGGGGACAGGCACGGATAGGCATGGGCAGAATAAAGGGTCGGTTAGCCTGGCATCACGCCGAGGCTCTGAAGAGATTATATGGAAGAAGAGAAAACGTCATCATGTCATCTAGCCGCTCTGTTCCCAATTCCGTCCTCCATATACGACTAGCTCCTGCGTCGTCCTTGACCTCCACCTTCTTCTAACACGTACATCATGACCACAGGGTCAGTATGAGTAGTCTTTTAGGCAGTAATTGATAGCCGTTGAATTTGGATTGAGGAACTAGGGTTACTACGAATGAGGATGAGTTTATATAGGCCTTCCCCAGGAAATGGAGCCATTATTTACACAGTGATTGAATGCCTCAATAGGGAGGCACACAATGAGCAGGACTGAGCCTGTGACAAACGGGAATAGTGAGAATTTACGGGCATTAATTTGACAATGACGCTGAAAAAGATGTCTAGAAAGTCGACTATCTTATTTTTATTGATCTTAGACATTTCCTGTTCTAGGGCGCGAGGGGAGAGACCAAGCTTCGTCGGCCACAACCTATTGCGTATTTGAGTAAGAGTGGAACTTAAGAGGGGCATTTCACTTACTTCTCCCTCATTGTGCGCCCAGGCGTAGAAAATGAGGCCGACCATGTAGTAGATGGCCGAATTGGTTGCTTGATACAGCAGTACTGATGCTAGCACTGCCACCGGTAAAAAGACCATGCGGGCAACGATACTCCGATGTAGAGCAGAGCCAGCAATCATGCCCAAGGGCCATTCCCAGGCTATCATCGTGAATCCTATGAGGAGATTGAGGACCTGAAGGATTGGCACAGGCTTGACCAGGGGATCTAAGCTTCGACTAAAGAAGTCAAAGAAAATCTTAGGCCAGAAGAGCCCGGAGATGGCTGCAACAATTTGATCTAAGCGGGAATATTAGAGGGAAAGGCAGCTATGCGTTGGGGGACTTTGGACACAACTTACATACTCCTGCAGACATCACGACGAGCCGTGCCAAGTGATTCTTGATGAGTCTTCCCATGGATGCTGTATGGATGCTGTATGGAAAAAATGATAAAAGGTTTGAATGTGGCGGAGAAATATAACCGCTAGGGCTCTGGGGACAAACTTTTGCGCCTTGAATTTGGGTTCCGAGCCTGCGGAGGGAGGAAGAGAAACGAAAGTATCGACCACCAGTCGAGGGTGTAAAGAACGTTAGAATGTAGAAAAGAGTGTCGATTTCAACGAAAGCAACTGATACCGGTCAATTGACGGCACTGGCGTCGATTAATACTACCAGCACCGGTACCTGCTGAAGCCAAGCGTCTGGTGCCTGACAGATTCATCTGGCTGGCCGTGACAAGTGTAACGCCTTGATTGATGCTGAGTATCAGGCCCTGACCGCTTGACTCGAACGTTCATTACACTGAGCCGGCCTCTCTCCTCGATTTTCAAACATTCGACCCCTTGGACATGGCCAAGGCTCAACTGATTTCAGATAGGTTCTATGAAACTTGAGGTTATGAAGATGTTGTGGCCCCGGCCTGAACTCATGAGGGCGTATACACAAGCCTGATGAAGTCAGGCGCGAGTTAGAATTAGGTGCGACGACATTTGGGGCTGCGGACGGTGCGATTTTGGAAGATGGACGCGGGCTCCATGGATAGGTCACATCTGTGCGCGAACAGGGCGAAGAAAGGAGCGCGGACGGGAGTCTGACTGCGACGCCTGCATGCCGATTCAAACAAACCGCCACATGTACACAGATTACGCGACTGTGGCGTATGGAGGGTCACAACCTAGTACTCTTGTTGATATTTTCTACCTCACCCCTAACCTGTTAAGTCTAGTCTCCTGAAATATGTCGTCGCCGCTTGCTCACACACCCACAAGTTACGGCTTCTCGCATCGAGGCCAGCCATGAGATACGCTGAATGGCGACAAAAAGTGGTAGATGTATGGTGCCGTAAGGCCGCTGGCCGCGACCGATATTGCCATTGTGGGGTTTAGCGACGCGAGAGAAGATGGGATCTTGCCTTTCCGTTTTGTTCTGTGCGTCGTCGAGAACACATGGCCTGATCTGGGCATACGCCATGCGCGCGCTAGCGGAGCGACTCTAATTATGTCGTGTCAAGGAACGCAACATCGTGTGTGCTGGGTCTAATAGAGGCGAATATGTGCCGGCATAAGGATGTTCCGGAGGCGAGTAGTCACGTTTCAAGGCTATTCCTATCAGGGATCCCATTCGAGTCTCCATCTCCCTGATCAGGTGACAACGCCATGTGTCCGCTCACGAGGTCGAAGAATCTGCACCAAAAGAAGCCAATTCGCGTTGGTGATGTCAGAAATTGGCTCTTGCGACACTCGCGCGTCTAGACGCAACGATTGGGGGTGCGTCTCTACTCGAAAAGTAAAGGACATTCAGTGTTGGCTTGCACGCTACACTACTTCATCAGCCGCAACTACCATGCTCAAGTCCCTTGTCTGGCGCTTAATTCTGTGGAGTCATGGACGATGGATGATATAATCACCCGGACGATTTACACACTCGATCATGTCTGAGCGTGGTCAAGTTATTAGCGCCAGTTTAGGGCAAAGATGAGTATGGACTAACAGTTATCGTTTAATAGGTAAGGGTACCAGAAGAGTGATGGGTCTTAACGAAGGCGCTTGAGACTTAACTGGAGATGGTCAGACAGACAGAGTACGTGTGCTACACAATGTCACAGGGGAAGCTTCCCTGACTGACACCAGTTTTGTCCAGACAAGAAGAGAGTACCGTCCTAGCGACATTCATCGCTCTCTATTTGATTAGCACTTACAGCCAGTATCCAGCTAATAAGTAACATTGTAGTTATTTCACCTGTTTCAACGGCTAGTCTTTCGACCAGAGCTTCACTCCAATAAACACAGAGCATGACATAAATAGCCTTGGGCTGGTCAACGTGAAAGAAAAAATCATAGAAGTTTCACGTCTCTAGGCCTAAACTCGAATGAAGACATTTTGGCACGTCGCCGCTAGACACAGACTATGAAGTAGCCATAGAGATACCTGGCTTACCGATAGCTATGACGAATACCTCATTACAATTATATGATCTTCAAATTAACAGAGAATATGTAATATTATGTTTAATGACTCTCCCAAGGCGTGTTTGTACCTCCGGCGTTGCAAACACTTCAGATTCTTTGAGAGGTCTTTTACATCAACTCGGGCTACTGAAGCACCCACTGGCACCCCTTTTTTTTAAAGGGGTGAGTGTATGGTTACAAAGTTCCATGAGTATATCAACCAACTCTTATGATCGTCTGGGTGATCTAGTTTGCGCGAATCTAAAACAAGGTTATGTGGCAGAGGAGTTCTCGTTGGTCGCTCCGGTCAACACATCAAGGCATGAATGCGTCTTTTATACGCAGATAAAGCTCTCGCAGAAACGGTTGGATGAAATAATTAGTAATTGTGTATTTTTGATGTGAGCTACTAAGATATTAAAAGCTGGAAGTATCTCGACATCCCTCGAAGTCAAGCTTCAACCGTCGCATGGATTTGTAGTCTCTAAGAATGCGAAAACTGTGTTGCCCTTTGCTGTGGCCTACACTTGTCGGGCCGACCCACACTTAGTTGAAATCCTCACCCAATCTGTTTCCGCCTAGCTGTCATACGCTTTATTCAAATTTAACGTTAGAGGAAGTCGGACGTGTCTAATTGTGAGCTACGTGTGTGCTTCAAGGGATGAAAGTAGGTCATTTGCCTGCCGAGGCGCAATATATACTCCGGTTCAGAGATTACCAGGGAAGACAGGCATTACATTGTTTGGCAATATTCTTCCACATAGTAAGTTGATATACCATAATGTTGGTAACTGCCGTCAGTAACTCACCATAGGAGATAGCTATCAGCGAGCATAAATGTTGAATTGTAGATATCGGTCAAAACTTAATACGACATGAAGTAGTGCTAAAGAGTTCTGCCCCGCCGCTCTCTTTCTCTCCCTTTTGGTGGACTATTCTCAACACCTGTCAGTGGGGTCCCCTACTGACCTCCAGCTCTCACTGTAGAGTCTGCAGAGCCGAGATCGAGTGACAAAGTCCTCACTTCGAAGAGGATTCCCAATCGCTTTCGCGGTTTGTATCGTCTTCATCTCTCAACACATTCCCCTATCACCATTATCATGAAGCTAACCACGATCAGATCAGATGGTAGGGTCGGAGCCCTACTCATCACCAACCCTTGATTATGGAGGAAAAACCATCCGATGAGTTTCCGGAGCATATCCAGCACCCGATACTGCGATGGTAGATAGGATCAAGTCGACCTCGACTGTTACAAAGAGGGGAGATATAGATGAATATGTGCGTCTCATGCGGTCCCGGTATCTAGGCCTCGACTGGGCCAGAGAGAAGCTCAATGTGCTAGATAGTCTATGACTCAAGTATTACAATAAACACACTTCTCTATCTCCTTTGGCTCCACTATCTGGGCACTTAACCCGGCCGGAGGAAAGTTAATCCACATATTTTATGCCCCTTCCGGTGCTTTCTATTGAATTGAATTGATTTATTTTGAGGTCCCAGGCACCAGCCCAGCGCCTTATGGCACGGGACTGGTGGGCTCGGTAAGCATTATCCTAAGTAGCTATGCCCTACTCGTTCCCACCACACTGTCACTATGTGACTCTGATTACAAACAACCAAAAAACCAAAAGAAATAACAAACAAAACCAATTGAATCAAAGCAAATTAACATGAAGGAGCGGTGCTAGTATTTCTCATCCTATGTCCCCTTCAGTCATTTCTCTCGTCCTGACAAAATAATCACTCCGGCCCTCGCATCCTTGCTCCCAAAGCAGCGGGTATTCCTTGCAAATTCTATGAACTTCTCGAGACCCTCTGGTCCAAGGAGTTGGTTGGTATAGTCCTCCACGGTCATGGATCTTCTCAACCTGCGCATTATAGCAGCATTCTTCCGGCATCGGACAAAATGAGTTGGCGTTGTCCTTTGTCCACAGACGCATTCCAGTTTCGCGTCTTCGTGGTTCAGGCGGCGATGATAGTCCGCAAAGTCTCCATGTCCTGATCTTGCTGCCAAGAGCTTGTGGAGTAATCGTCGAGAAAGACCTAGTTCCGGTGGTTTCCGACGTCGCATCTGTAAGTTCAGGTCTCGATATCTGTCCGTACCCGACTTATTCCACCAGTCTTCCACTAATTTCTGTCGGCGATTGTGCATCAAGCGGCAAATGTATGCCTGCGTTGTCTGCACTGGCTGCGTCTGTCTTTCTGGCAGCAGCTGAAGACCGGCTCGGGTTTCTGCGTCTGCTTCTTCGTTGCCACTAATATTGGAGTGTCCAGGCACCCACCTCACTGTCACGTTCGCTTCTGAAGCGAACTTGTGAAAGACGCGGGCTGTCTACAGCGACGATGATGACTTCCCCGTCCGAAGCGCAAGTACAGCTGCCTCATTGTCAAGAAGAACGAAGATTCTCTCACGGTTCTTTCGAGCGCGCTTAGCTTCCTGAAGTGCTACTGCTGCTCCAGCAATTTCTGCATCATAAAATTCACCGCCATGTAGACGACCGTGACCTTGTGCGAATGTTTGTCCTCCGCGTTGGAGGACATATCTCCACGAGGATCGTCCATGGCCTTCAAATGACCCATCAGGGTAGGCGTATATGTCAGAGGGAGAGATCGTGCTAGCCCAGTTGTAGTGTTCTTTGACTCCCTCTTCTTTCTTTCCAAGACTTAATGTGTACACTGGGCCTGCCAGCCCTTCTGCCTCTTCGGATGACTGCGGGAGCTTTCGAAAAGTACGCTATAGGCGCAACATCTGGGTTTCTGGTTGGCGCCTGACTCTCTTCCTTAGCTTGTACTTCTGCGAGCCAACATTAGGGCACTCGCTTGCGCGGTTCCGGAGAGGGTGACGGTCATCGAGCGACTGGATCCTGGCTGCTAGACGGAGTCGAATTCCTTCTAGAAGAATCTTCGCCGGTGGGATGCCCCCTTCCCTATGAAGAAGGACATTAGGTGAAGTCTTCCAGACCGGTA